CCCGACCCTCCCCTCGATCTCAGATCGCATCAAGCTCCCCCCTCTCCCTCCCACTTCTCGAAGCTCCCGCGTCCCACCGTCGAACTCGGGCAGCCGAGCGGCAGGGGCGTCCCCGGCGCCGTCGATCCCGGCCATGGCCTGCAGCCAGTGGGCGCAAGTCCAGTGGCCCGACCGCCAGCCCCCACGCGCGAGCCTCGCGGAATCGACCCCCCTCCGTCCGCGACATGCTGCGGTGGAGAGTTCCCCTTCCCCGTGGCAGCAGGTGTTGGTGGCGGTTGCGCCGCGGCGCTCGTCTCCCGGCCTGCTCCGACGCGGCGCAGACCTTGCCGGAGCCGCCGCGGGACGAGACGCCGAGCTCGAGCTCGGAAGCGTCAGAGCCACCGATTCCTGAAGACCCGAGGCTGGAGGAGATCCGATCGGAGCTGCTTGATTCCCCGACGATGCTGGAGCAGTGGTGTTGTCCAGCCCGGAGTCCTCGGCATTCGTGGTCCGCCTGCTCGTCGAGGGGGACAAGCACGGGCACATACGCCAGAGCGTGCTCGGCGGGTTCGTGCAACACGCGCACGGGATCATGGGGAACAGGCAGGAGCATGCGGTGTTCCAAGCGCTGCTGCGCTTCTCCCAGTGGCGGCACCAGGAGCTCAGCCGCATTATGGACGCCGCCGTGGAGCCCAACCTCGTCTCGAGGACCAACGACGGGTACGTTCACCGACCAATGAATCCCCTTCTATTTCAGTGCTCCCTCCCGGTTTGATCAGAAGTAATTTACCAATTACCATTGTGATTCGCATGTCCAAATTACTCTACAGTGTATTTATAGAATTACTCTATGGTAGAATAAACTTTGGCATGCCATCAGACTTCAGACATAGCTACAGTATTGGGAAGGGTGCTCTCCTTGTGTTCGGTGACCACTTGTCAGACGATGCTTTTGATTTACCTCTGACTGTAATCCTGCTGTTAGATTCAGCTGCTCCTATGCCCACCTGCGATTGGGTCTAATGCAAGCACACACAGCCTCAAGTTAAACAAGTACCAGTCGCCGGCAGTGCTGAAACTTGTACATGATGCATAAAGTTGGAGTGACTTAATCGAGCGCTACGAGGGCATAAATCATGGTGAATATCTGGTTAATACACAAACACATCTACTCATAGTACTAGTTATTTTACACTCAGAGTTAACTGCATTCTGATTCATCTGTATGATTCTTGCACACAGAAACTGTTGGCGGATATCGCAATGTTGAGGCATGAACGTGACCACCTGGAGGCCAGCGTGAGGAGGCAGACAGGAGAAGACCTGCCGTCCGGCGCAAACGCGGTAGAGCTCCGCGGTCTGGAGTACAAGCTAGAGTGCGCGCTGGGTAAAGTCCGTGAAATGAAGGTATGCGTGCTGTTACAACACCCTGCACTGCACAATATTCACCTCGGCTCACATGCCACTCTCAGTACAGGATAATCAATGGTTACTTGACTTTCTTATCTGCAGGATAAACTGATGGAGGAGCAGCTGGACGAATCACACCACAGGGTAAGTAGCTGTAAACCTAAGGGAAATAGAATGATTTAAGATGCAGACAAGCAGTTGTGAACTTGTGATTGATCGTGCATATGGCTCTGTTGGCGTGTGATGCATGCAGGTGCACATCCTGGAGGAGCAGAACAGCTTCCTTGGCCACATGGTATGGTAGGAGTGATTTGCATCGCTGCATCCCTGCGTGCCATAGAGTAATTAATATCTCTCTATGTGTATTGTGATCCACATGTCCAAATTAATTACCATTGTGGTCAAGACTTAAGACAGCTAGAGTACCATAGAGTAATTCTACAAATACACTGTATATAAGTGAATACATTTCTGCTTGTAAGAGGGTGTTTGGTTAGACGGTAAACTTGCTGTGCAAATATTGGTATGAATCTGCGATGGTAAAACATGTTATCCTACTCCATGATGTTGTATCATTTGTATGATTTGCAAATACTCCTGGACATTAGCTCCCATGATGTTGCATTAGGTATAATCTGTAATGCTAAAAGAGGAGTATAAACTGGAGTAATTTTTTCAGCAATTATCTTTGTTTTCTTTTGGGCTCCCATCATGTTGCATTAGCTACAGCCGAGTACTTCTCTTATGATGCCTGTAGGAGTATTTAAAACAGAGGAATTGAAATGTTACTAATTTTTTCTTCTTCCCAAACAGATTTTGAAGGTATTGAAGCACAACCTTTGTACCCAACCTGCAAAATGCTAGTATAAGATTCTTAGATAAGGAGGCGCTCAAACAATTTCAACTACAAGCAGGTTTGCGGATCCTCCTGTGTCCCCCTTTTCTCTGGTTTATGATTCCCAACATTACCTACCTCCCATTGGCGATGCCCGGCTCTGCTCGGGTTCCTGGGAAGTCGTGCCAATTTGATGTCATGTGATGCTGCTGATAAGTCTGAAATTTTGCATGCCCAAAATCTAGGCGTCCCAGTTTCGTTGTAGCTACGCTTCTGGTTGTTGCGGGAAAATGCTTGCTTCTGGGTGTGAGACAATGGTCTTGCGGTCTTAATTTTTTGATCCAGTCGATTAGGGTCAGATGCCATGCCATGTTGTGATGTTTGCTTATTAGGTCTGTGTATTGATTTGTTCTTGCTAGATGTGCAATAACGAATTAAGAGATACGATACTGATTCCTTTCTTGTTCAATGTAAATTTATTACATAAACATGTGGAGGGCACTGTAACTTTAGCAGAGTTGGTCATATGGTACTGATTCCTTTCTTGTTCAATGTAAATTTAGTATGAGGAGAGTTGGTGATAAACACTTACGAGTTCATGAATAACTAAGCAACTGTCATGCTGAAAAAACACTTCCTGCTGTAGATTATTAATCCATGAGTATATTACGACTCCATATACGGCAACCACATGCAGACTTGCTCTAGATCTTCTTAATTTCCATGCATGTTTCTTTCTCGACTTAATCTTACTAAATAGCACCTAGTCACTTGCTGCTGTTGTTATTCACACTATATCCTCGCTGTTCTGTTTTTTGTTGGCAGATATTTTGCCTAAATTCAAGACGAAAGAAGATGTTCAAAGAAGCGCCAAGACATTTTTGTATAGCAACTTATGTAATAATAGTTGGGTTATCTGGGCATTGTGAACTCCAGAATTTCATATATCTTCTCTCTGTTTTTGAATGAAATGTTGTATGTTTTAGAATTACAATTTTTGTTTCATATGAAATAGTAATTATGTATGTGATTTGAAAATGCGTGCAATGGAAACATGACTCATGTGACCCACTTATAAAAATAATTTGAGTGTATTTGAAATTTTGATTATGATATTCGGGACCAACCTGACTAGTGGGGCCATCACCAAAATAAAATGGTGAAAAATAAAAGATCATACACTCTAAAAGGCCGCACCTAGAAGAAAAAAAGGCCGAATTGTTGGGCTAGGCCCATGTAGCAAATTAACAGAAAAAATATTAAAAAGGCCGAATTAATGGGCTTGGCCCATGTAGAACGTCGAATTGGACCGGGCTGAATTTTATCCACGTCAGCTTGAGCACGATGTGCGGAGCGGCGGACTCCTGGAGGCATGCCTTACTTATGATGGCGAGAAGTACCTGGGCCTTGGCACCTGACTCCTTGGTGGTGCAGATGAGCACCTATGACTACCCAAGCGCCAAAGCATGGCTGTTCACTATGGCAAATTCGTTATCACATGCGGACTTCACAAGGGTCGGTGTTACTTTGTGGGCGATTTGAAGCTCCAGGAGAAAGTTGATTCATGAAGGGGTGCACCAAACACCATACTCAACTAATGCATTCGTGGTTTCTTTCATCAAAGATCTCCAGGTCCTAGCTCAATCACATGGAAGCCCTAAAGCTAAGCAGCCGCGCTTGAGCCAGTGGGTGCCACCCCGGGAGGGAACCTGCAAGATCAACGTCGACGCTGCGTTGATGACAAACAGACCGATCGGCGCGGTTTCAGCGGTGTGTAGGGACCGGCATGGAGTATTCTTGGGCGCGTCCACGATTACCTTCCAGGGTTTGGACGATCCCACGACGCTTGAGGCCTTGGCAGTTCGGGAGTCACTCGCTTTAGCGGACGACCTCTACGAGCACAGGATCTCGGTGGCCTCGAACTGCAAAAATGTTATTGATGATATCAGACAGGGGAGTGCAGCGGCCTATGGTGCTATCATTAGGGAGATTGTAGACCGTTCCAAGTTTTTTGCTATTTGTTCTTTTAGCCATGAATTTAGGAGCTCGAATGTCGAGGCTCACAATTTAGCGAAGCATGCTCTCTCACTTGGGGTCGGCCGCCGTGTGTGGTTAGGCAACCCGGGTGATCTTTCTTTCGTCCCTGTAAACATTGTGACGAGTTAAATAAAAGCTTCGCGAGATTGTCTCAAAAAAAAGCTTGACACGCTGGATGCCTACGTGGCCTGGGGAGGTTGCTAGTGACCAAAAGTTTGATCGTGGAACCAACCACCTTTTACATATCGCAAAGAAGGTCACTAATTTCAGTTTACGACCGCCAGCTTTTGACCATCTGTTTTTCGTCACAAAAAGGTCGCAAATGAAAAACTATGACCTTTTGGAGACCAATAGTGAAGGTCACAAGTTGACATATTTCTTGTAGTGAACAAGCCCGCCACTCCTGCCAGTGACTTCCACAGCGAAAGAACAATCATAACCTAAACTGCTAGCAAGATTTTCAGCTCTATCTCTACCAATTTGAGTTTCAATAACACATAGCAGTCTAGGGGCAAACTTTTGTGAAAGATCGCGTAACTCTTGAACTGTCGGGGCGTTGCCTAACTCTCGACAGTTCCAACATAGTAGATTCATTGGGACTGGCGGTCCTCCGCCGGGGAGGCCGCCAATCGTCCATCGTTGCTTTTTCCTCCGGGAAGGTGTTCCTTCACGTTGTTGCTGATGTTCTTCTCCTAGGCCGAATTCTCTATCGTCAGCGCCACTCTGGACCTCTTGGGATCCTGCTTGGGTGGAGGGCTAGGTGGTACTGTGCCTCCCCCTTTCGCCTCCTCAACGGGAACAAGCTCCATCCCCGTAACTGCCTGCGCGACAACCTCTTCGGAGCCGTGCTTCCTATTCAGATCAGCATCACTCATATCAACATCCTCCTTCCTCTTTTTAACAGGCCCCTCTGCCGCAACAACCTGGGGCTAGTTCTTTGCCTTATTGCTGTCGCGGCGTCTCGTTCCCCAAGCAGTACTTGCTGGAGCCCTCAAGTTCTTATATATGAGTGCTGAGGGGGGTGAACTCCATCCCCATGTTCTTTGAATTCATGTCCCATCATCCCACACACTTGGCACCAGTCTGGCAAGCGCTCATACTTGAATGCAAAGATTTCTTGCTCACCACTATGGACAAGCGATGTTGCCTTCTTCAGAGGATTACGGACATCAAGACGAACTCTCACCCTATAGAAATTCCCTTCGAAATCAAAGGACGAGGGTTCTGAATCCACAAACTCACCGAATTTTGAGGCTAAGGGCATCTCCAGCCGCGCCCCCAACAGGCTCTCCCCAGGCGATTTTGCCGCGCCGGCACCAAAAAAATGGCCCAATCGCGCCCCCAGAAGCCCGTTTTTCGCCGGCTCGGGCCAAAACTGGTGCCGGCGGACCCAGGCAGAACCCGGTGCCCTGGGGGGCGCTTGGGGAGCCGGCACAAGTGAAAAAGGCGCGTGGGCCTGCCCTGGCGGCGACCCGAGGGCCTTTTCTCGCCGCTTCTTGACGTTTTTCCCTCGCATCTCTTCCGCTCGCTCGCCTTCCTCCTGCCATTCCCTCCCTTTCTCCCGCCAAACCCCCTCCAGCTCGCCTTCTAGTCGCCGCCATGCCGCCGAAGAAGTACGCCATGCCGCGCGCGGCGGCAACCACGACTGGCACCGTGGCCCAGCCGAAGCAGAGGAAGCCGAGGGCGCCGCCATCGAAGCCACCGGGCATGTCGAGCGCCGAGTGGAGGGTGGAAGTTCAGCGACGCGACGCAGTCACCACCGACTGGCGGAACAGGGCCATTGCCAAGAAGGCCCGAGACAACGCGGCGCGTGCGGCGGCGTCTTCCTCATCGGTCGACCACGCGGGGATGATGAATCTACCCGTCGCCAGCCACGCCCAGTACGCGCCCCGGGGACAGCAAGGCGTCGGATCTCCATGGGGATCGTCGTCGCCCGGCTACGCCGACGGCGACGCGCACGGGGGGTTCAACCCAAACGTGACCTTCCCCCATGGCCACCCCGCGATGCGCACACCCTCGCCTGCCTTTGTCGACGTGCAGTACCCTCCATACAACTACTCGCCGCCCGCCGCCTACGCGTCCACACCGACGCCCCATCTCCGCCGTGGACCGTTGCCCTTCTCACACCTCGACGACACCGATGACACAGGAGCCGACATGGACAACATCATCGCGACAGGATCGACCTCGGCCGCCGCGTCTCCCGGGTTCGCCACCCAGGACGAGGTAGTACTGGGACCGCATCAAGGCCGAGTTCGACGAGCAGAAGCTCGTCGACCCGTACTTCAAAGGCGTCTACATGCAGTGCGGCTCCAAGGCGATGGCGAACCATTAGGGGCGTATCCAGTTGGCGTGCAACAAATGGCATGGAACCGTTGAGGAAGTCGCGGCTCGCCCGGAGAGCGGCGCCAGCGTTGAGGATAAGGTACGCACGCCGTTCGCCCGCATCTCTTCATCGTCAACGCCCGCCGCCCGCCAACTGTTTGTTCCTCCGCGCAGTTGCTGCATATGTTCACCATGTATCGGCGCGACAACCAAGACGCCGACTTCAAGCACCTCCACGTCTACAAGCGCATTGACAAGTGCCAGAAGTGGGCGGATGTGACGCCCGGGGAATTAAGCTACAGTGATCCTCTGCTAGTGATGCCACGTCACCTCAATTATAGTTGCTAATCTTGAGTTAGTTCAAAACCGGTCCAAAATTCAAAATTCAGATTAATGATAACGATAAAAGTTTTCAAACATTAAAAATAAAATGTTCGGTTTGTACTAAATATTACATAGATAATTATGGTGTAGAAGATACAGTTTTATAAAATGCATAAATATTTTAAATTGAATTAAAACAGAAGGGAAAAGAAATAAAAAAAAAACCCATTGGCCCAACTGGGCCAAGCCCCCACCTGGCCCAGCCGGCCAGCCCCCCTGGCCCGGCCCAAA